AGGGTTCCATAAGAATTTCATCGCGAAAAGGAAACTGCAGATTGGTAATAAATTTTGGACTTCTGCTTTCTGTTGTCTCCTATATGATTGCATAGGCTTAACCTATGCAACCGCATAGGTGCCTTCTCCGTAAAGTCAATTTTAGTCCTTGAACTTCATTTTCCACATTCTTGGCTTCGTTTCTTCCTTTTCCTCATTCCATCAATCCATGTTAACCTCCAATTGGTGATTAGCTTTATCGAATCTTTGGTTCCTCCTTTGGTTCATCTTTTGGATATTTGCAAGTTGGTCCCTAAACTTTCATTTTGATTCGTTTTGGTCCTTTTTTCTTCTTTTTCTCGTGAATTCCATCATGTCCATCACTATACCCTACAATCCAAGAATTAAACGAATTTAAGCCACAATTCAAACACATATCTCGTGATTTAGTCATGTTTGTGCATTAAATAAGTGCACTAAAACGCACTTATCAAGTGCATACGTGCCAAATATGTAGGGCCACCCACCGATATTACCTGGAAATGGACTTGGCTGGAACGATACCGGAAGGGATGACAAATATGGCAGCATGTTTGACAAATCGAATTTATCTAAATGTTGTCATGGGGGTAAAGAAAATTATTATTCATTGGGTTAATCATGTGGTTTTACTCGTGTTAATGTGAGTACATGTGTGTTGCTAACACAATATTAGATATATACCGTCTAATGTTGCAACAAACACGATGAAATCTGGTCTGGAAGTTGCTACATGTCTTAAAGCTTTTAACTCAGTGGTTACGAAAGCAGATAAGGGCGACGCTTGTACATCAACAACTGTGTATGCAGACATTGAGCGAGAAAGTCACACGGAAAATAGTTACATCAACAGTGAACTTGTTGATCCCCTAAGTAACACCATTGATTTAATTGGTAAATTTGAAAGTTGCAAAGAAATTCACAGCCACTTCAGTGGCAATGATGGTGCGGGAAGGTTAAATTACCTTCCAAAGTTGGAACTTTCACTTGAAAGATCATATCCCAGTTGCTTAAAAGATAAAGGAGCTGAAGAGTTCGATACGTTAAACCACTCAAAAGCATCTACTTTTTCAAGGTATAGGGACTTTTCAGTTAACATATTCCTATATGAATTAATCATCCTCTAAATATGATTTTCAAAGTAACTGAGAAAATTATTTTCTGTGTTCATTGTTTTGAAATTTGGTGTTAGAAGGGTAATGCAATTTTTATCACCTTTCTAACTCTTTTCACTAAATCTCTACTGACTAGTTCTAATTTTCAGTTGAAGGTTTACTGGTTGTAGAATTCTTGATTTTCAGTCCTAATTTCTAGCAGATCCTCTAGCTGTAAATTAGTTCCCCAATTAAAGGATGTTATTTTTATGAATTCCAATTCTTAGACATTTAGTCAACATAGTAGTTTAGGAAATTAAACCTTTCCTTAATTTAAGGAAGTGATTTATTCCTTCTGTTTTATCGTTGAAATAAGAGTAAAGATTACATATTCTTCATGGTATCAGAGCAACCTCTGAAACCTAAGGAATCTCCATGACAAAGTACGACATGGCAGCAGAAAATGAAACTTCTTCACATTATGATGTTCTTGCCACAAGTTCTAATGGCGAATCAGAGAGCAATCATCTTCTCATCACTGGACACAGATTGAATGGAAATAATTACATCCAATGGTCACAGTCAATCATATGATGTTCATCTGTGAAAAGGGGAAGGATGATTTTATCACTGGAGTGTCTACCCCTCCAGCAACCACATAACTGAAATTCAAACTGTGGAAGTCAGAAAATAATATAGTCATGTCTTGGCTGATCAATTCTATGACAAATGAAATTGGAGAAAATTTCCTTCTCTACAACACTGCTAAAGAGATATGGGATGTAGCAAAGGAAATCTACTCCAGTAATGGAAACACCTCAGAATTGTTTGAGATTGAAATCGTTCTCCATGACCTTCGACAAGGTAATTTATCGGTAACTCAATATTTCAACTCGTTATTGGCAACGATTGGATGTCTTCAAAGAACATAGTTGGGAATACCCTACAGATGCAAAAAAAATATAGGGAAATTACTGAAAAGAAAAGAATTTTTAAATTCTTAATAGGTCTTACTTAACAAAGACTTTGATGAGGTTCGGGGAAGAATTATAGGATCAAAACCATTGTCCAACATTCGAGGGACATTTTCAAAAGTGCGTCTTGAAGAAAGCAAAAGGAAGGTAATGCTTGGATCTCCATCTATTGTCCCAAAAAATTCAGCTCTTGCTGTACATGGAGGAAACCACCACAACAGTGACTATCGACAAAAGAATGGCAGACCTTGGTGTAATCAATGCAAAATATCGGGAGACACTGATGATACTTTCTGGAAAATACATGGTAAACCAACAAATTGGAAGCCCACAAGAACACCTTTCAACAAAGAAAAATGAGGAAATCATGTCTTCACTGATGAAAGCACCACAGCAACCAAACCAAATCCTTTCAGGAAAGAGCAACTTGAAGTATTACAGAAGATGTTTTCACATTCATCACAAGCCCCACTTGGTAACACAATTGAAATCGGGTCCTTAGCACACACATGTAATTCTTTAAGTACTCTTACAGTAAATAAAGAAAAAATAAATATATGGATTTTAGACTCAGGTGCATCAGATCACATGACTGGAGATATTAATCTCTTCGACCAATATAATCCATGTTGTGAAAATTTTACTGTGAAAATAGCTGATGGATCAGTCACCAAGGTTGCTGGCACAGGTTCTATTATTATTTCCAGAAATCTCACACTAAATTTAGTGCTTCATGTACCAAAATTGAATTGCAATCTCGTGTCAATTAGTAAGGTCACTCAAGAACATAAGTATGTTACTAAATTCTATTCAAATTTGTGTGAATTTCAGGATTTGGATTTAGGGAGGATGATTGGCAGTGCTGAGGTATGCTCATGTCCTTATCTTCTTAGAGTTGATGAATCTTTTAAAGGACAATCTCACAAAGCGGATAGTGTAAAGCCCAAGAGTCAGTTTTCTCAAAGCCTTGTTTCCACTAGTCAATTCAATAAAGATATTGAAATCATGTTGTGGCACTACCATTTAGGTCATGCAAATTTCTTGCATCTTAAGAAGTTATTTCGTTTCTTAATCAATAATAAAAATCCAAAGGAGTTTCAATGTGAAGTATGTCAATTTGCAAAACATATTCGCAGCTCTTATTTCATCAAACCTTACAAAGCATTTCATCCTTTCTCATTAATCCATAGTGACGTGTGGGGGCCATCTAGAATTAAAAATATTACTGGAACTAGATGGTTCATATCCTTTGTAAATGATCACTGTAGGATTACATGGCTATTTCTTATGAAAGAAAAATCTGAAGCTGGTCAAATCTTCAAAAACTTTAACATATGATCCAGACACAGTTCTAGACAAAAATACAAGTGTTAAAAACTAATAATGCAAGAGAATATTTTGACACCATCCTAGGAGATTATCTAGTTAGTCAGGGCATCATTCATCAAAGTTCTTGTGCGGACACGCCCCAACAAAATGAGGTAGCTGAAAGAAAAAATAGGCACTTTTAGAAGTTGCTCGATCAGTTATGTTTACCACACATGTTGCCAAATTTTTTTTGGGAAGAGGCAGTATTAACTGCTACATATTTAATAAATATAATACCCTCACGAATGTTGAACTTTCAGACACCCTACCAAGTCCTTCTCCAGTCATATCCTACTACTTAAGTCCTGTCCACCATTCCATTTAAAAATTTTGGTTGTTTCGTGTTTGTCCACATACACCCTCAACATCGAAGTAAACTTGATCCCAAGGCCTCAAATGTATCTTCATTGGGTATTCCTCAAGTCGAAAGGGTTATAAATGCTACTTTCCAATTACAAGAAAATTCTACAACTCCATGGATGTCTCCTTCTTTGACTAACAACCTTATTACCCCAAATCTGATATTTAGGGAGAGAACTTTACATGGGAATACAAGCTTTGGGACACTGATAATTCCAATCCATTTCTCATCACAGATCTGTCTATACATTCAACTGAAATTCCTTAATTAAATTAGACTCCAAACATGATTGTTCAAGCTGATATACCATCATTAGAGTCCGGACAACACCATTAATTTCTAAACCAGAATCTCAAATTCCAAAGTAAAGCATCCCTGCTAATTCTTGTGAGTTAATGTCTACACTAGGAGAAACAAAACTTAGGAAAGAAGAGAACAGCCACCTAAGCATAACTATGAATCCAACTAGACTCCAGAATCTCAAGAAATTTTACCAGGTAACACCAGCTCCAATTAGGCTCCTATTGAAATACCTAATGATGATCTTAATTTGCCAATTGCCTTGTGAAAAGGTGTGAGGTCATGCACCTCCCATCTTATCTGTAATTTTATTTCATATACTGGGCTGTCAACTGGTTATCGAGCATTTGTTAGCAATCTTGACAAAGTACAGATTCCTAATTCTATACATAAAGTACTTGTTGTACTAGAATGGAAAAGTGTAGTTTTAGAAGAAATTCGAGCATTGGAATAAAATGGGACAAGGGAAATATTTGATCTGCCAACTAGAAATGTCCAATAGGATGCAAGTGGATCTTTACTGTTAAACATAATGCAGATGGAAGTGTGAATAGATTCAAAGCTCGTTTGGTAACAAAAGGATTTACGCAGTCTTATGGAATTGACTATCAAGAAGCATTTGCTCCTGTTGCCAAACTTAATAAAGTTTGCATATTGTTGTCATTAGCCTCCAACCTAGACTAGCCATTATATCAACTAGATGTGAAGAATGCATTCCTTAATGGAGACCTAGAGGAAGAGGTTTACATTGAGATTCCCCCTTGTTTTGCGACTCAAACTACTATAAAAAAGGTTTGTAAGCTGAGACAAATTTACTAAAGCATTAAAGAGATTTGGGTACACTCAATGTCAGGCAAATCACACTATGTTTATTAAACAATCATCTATTAGAAAAAAAGGACGATTCTTATTGTGTATGTAGATGATATCATCTTGACAGGTGTCACACCCCAAATATATACAGACAACCATAATCCAACACGTATGTTCTAAGGTTATAAATACATCTATAGGCCATTTCAAAAGTTATACAAGACAGGACCCCCAAAATACAACACAATAGAGTGTAAGCTCAAACCAATAGCCCACAAAATAACCCTACAGGTCGTCATCCATGTACATTGATCTTTGGAATCCCGTAAGAGCTCCACAACTAGTCGTGCCCTCTACATAGTTCCATGCTCACCTACAATGCAAGAACTACATAAGCCAATGCTTAGTAAGCAAGAATCATGCATGTCATGAGTATGAATAACAAGGATATGTGACACCATGTCATTTACTTTAAACATCATGCTAAAGATGCATCATATTCCAATATTCATCAAAGTCGACTCAAAATTATTTCATTTGAAATCTTTCATTTCATTGGGCCCTTGACCCACCTACTATGCACCGGATAGAGCTCTGCATAATATCAATATCAATAATCAAGTGGCCAATATGAAATCAACACCGGCGAGTGGACCATCCTCTCGTGACCGCTAGAGGCCCATCCCCTAACTACCCCTATGATCACCCAAGAAGTCTCCCACCCGGCAGCGCCAATAATCATAACAAGGGCATAGTCGAGTGGTCCGCCCTCCCGTGATCACCAAAGGTCCATCCCCTGTCTACCTTTGCAATCACCCAGGAAGTATCACCCGCGATGCCAAACATATCACATAAGCATGCCCACATGCCTCGGTGCCCTAGTAGTGGTCAATAAAACATTTATAAAGAAAACTTACTTTGAAATCATGTTTCGCATGCAAAGTTTTCAACCATGATCATATGTTGTGCATGCCAACAAAAATGCTCCTGAATGACATGCTTAATGGAAGTTGATGTCAATGTATTTTGCAATCGCATACTCAATGATCATAATCATCATATAGGGTACAACGAGCTTTCTTATCAAAGTATGAAAATATCCTAACATCACTATACCACAAATGTTAGGTTCTTGCATCGTAGTTGCAAAATGGATTTTTACTTACCTTTTTGCCCTTGTGTGTGCACAAGCTCTTACGGAGATTATATCACTTTCCTTTTTCACTCAACGTCGGAAAATCACCTGTATTACCATTTAATATTAAAGACAATTCTCCATTTAATAGCCTTAACACACACAAAATCCCAAAATACTTCCATTCACATCAAAATAATTTAAACGAATTCATTATTCAAGTTACTAACTGCATTACAATCTCATCCCATAAGTCTCATTTTTCCTCGAGTCTAATTACCAACATCAACGTCATCCAATTATTGTAAAAAACCTAATACTCCTTAGAATCTATTTTCTAGGCCCAAGAGATAATTAATTTACATGTAAAGGTTGAAATCATATTAAACACATAAATGGACAGAACCTGTTTTTCAGGTTTCATCACCGTCCAACTACTTTTCCAATCCGTTTTCACCGCCTTATCCATATCCAATGACTCCCAATTCTTTACCACGTTTCTATAACATGTATGCAAAGGCAATAATGCTCTAAAGTCGTGACAAATCGAGTGTTCTCAGCATCAAAATAGTCCATTTCCACGACATCAAAATCAGGCAGTTTTCATTGTGACAGCTTTCGGTTTCCATTTTATTAGCATGTCATCAAACAGATTCCAGGCTATTAGAAGACCATTTATATCCTTATAAATCCCATATAACAACATTCATTTACATAGATACAAGTTATATCTTCAGTATTATCCAAAATCAAAGTTTAAACCATCCAAATTCATCAATCAACACATCTCTATTCCTGTTGGTTTCTTTCAGGTTCTTGTACTCAATTACCCCTCTCTTTTGCCATCATAAAATCATAAACAACCCTTATACTTAGCCTCAAGTAAGTTTATAGTTTAAACATATTATAAAACAAGCAAAAGAACTAAAGAAAAACTTCAAAACCGTGAGCTAAACTCATCTATCCAGAAATTCAATTTCAGCCCCTTGTTTCTGCTTCCCTCTTTTCCTTTTTGCTTTCTCTTTCAATCGGTGGTCAATTGGGGATAATTTGTAAGACTAAAAATGTTGTTAGGAGGTGTATATAAAGTCTTCAAGATGCTGGAACGTGACTCTTCCTTAAGGATTAAGAAAATGTGGGGTGCAGCCAAGTGTTTAGCATGAGGTGGTCTTTTCCTACTATATTTGACTTTTCTCTTGGACTATTTAACTTATATTGATTTATAAGATATATAATCTATCTATATTAAATAAAAAGAGGTAGGAGACGTGCTATATAGCTTAAGGATATCTGATTTTATATCTATCTTTGTAGGTATAAATCAAGTATCCTGGGCTTATGTTAATGTGTTTACAATCCATTTCACTTGCCCTAAGATCCCAAAATATTTTATAGAGCTAATTCCTCAATCGTTCATTTAATTACTTACCTGATTGACACCCCATTCTCGACCGATTTCATCAAATCGCACCTCGATATTTATAATGTCACATGAGACATATATTATCGCATCATGATCATGTTCCTCTATGTATCATGTCCCAAATATTTCAATTACCTATCTAGGGTTTAAGGTGGTCTCGATCAACCGAATAGAAAGCTTGAACTTTTGTCGATACCGATTTCCGACCTTTTTGATATTCCATTTCTTATTAAGCCAATCTCCAACATTTTGTTAACTTAATTTTCTATCATAGCTCAATACAAAATTCAACACCTAGGTCTAGGAGTCGGAGACTAAAATCTTAAAATATCCATAATCGAATGCACCATTTTAAGATAAAGTAATTAAGAAAACTATTGCAAGTAACATTGTGAATAGCATGAAATGCATGAATCATATTGGCCAAATACATAATAGGAAGTTTGGGGTATTACACAGGAGATCATAAAGAAGAGATACTCAAGTTGAAAGGATTCTTAGCTAAAGAATTTGAAATTAAAGATATAGGCAATCTCAAGTCCTTGGGATGGAAGTTGAGTGATCGAAAATAGGAATATCAGTCTCTCAACGAAAGTATGTACTGGATTTCCTGAAGGAAATAGAAATGCTTGGTTGTAAACCTGTTAACACTCCTATGGATTCATCCATCAAACTGGGAACAAGAAAAGATAGTGCACCTGTGGATAAGGATAAATACTAAAGATTAGTCGGGAAACTTATTTATCTTTCCCGCATTAGACTAGATATCAGTTTCTCTGTCAGTATGGTGAGTCAATTTATGAATAAAGCAACTGAAGAACACATGGAGGCTGTTTTTAGAATTCTAAGGTATCTAAAGATGACTCCAAGCAAAGGATTATTCTTCAAGATGACTTCAAGCAGAGAAGTTGAAATCTTCAATGATGCAGATTGGGCCGGGTCTATAACTGACCAACGATCAACTTCTGGGTACTGCACTTACGTTTGGAAAAATCTAGTCACTTGACGAAGTAAAAAACAATCTATTGTATCTTGAAATAGCGCAGAAGAAAAATCTAGAGCTTTAGCTCATGGCATGTGTGAAGTAATATGGCTGAGAATGGTCCTTCAAGAATTAAATATTCCAGTTACAAATCCTATGAAGATATATTGCGACAATCAATCTGCCATAATCATAGTAAAGAATCAAATTCATCATGACATGACAAAACATGTGGAAATTGATTGGCACTTTTTCAACAAAAAAATAGAGTCTGGGATAATATCTCTACTTTACACTCCAACATGTCAACAGATTGCAGATATTCTCACTAAGGCAGTATCAAGAAAAACATTTGAAGAACTAAGGGGGAGTGTAGAATTCCTTATTTCCAGTCCTAATTTCTAACATATCTTGCAGCTGTAAATTAGTTCCCCAATTAAGGGGTGTTATTTTTATCAATTCCAATTCTTAGGCATTTAGTCAGCAGAGTAGTTTAGGAAATTAAATCTTTCCTTGATCGAAGGAAGTGATTTATTCTTTCTATTTTTCCTATAAACTGTACATTGTTTTGTCATTGAAAGAAGAACAAAGATTACATATTCTTCACTAGCCTTTCAACACCTAAATGAGTGACTGTATCCTTAAGTCTTGTCGATCTTTTCTTCTAATTTTATTTCATAAAAACAAAGAGTGCTAGGTTTTGTCTTCATGGAATCCGTGCGATGCATAATAAGAAAAGATTTGCGGAGGGTCTAAACTCCCAAAATCCCCTAGTCCCCCTAACCCCCATTTCACTTGTTGTTTGTTAGTTGTAATGTGGATTTGCACTGCTGTTTCATCTCTAATCAAGTTGCCAAACTTAGAATTTGACTCATCCAGCAGAATGTTCTTCGGATCCTTATAAGGCTTGTCTTTAATTTTACATGTACAGCCAATAATTCATTTCTCACTAATAATCTGTTTCTAGAGATAGAGCTATCTCCATGTGTTCTTTAGACTCATATATGCTCTTGGTATATAATCTTTCTATTTACTTATCAGAAATCTCTCTATTCTCCCATTAAAAGTTTAATGATAAAATTCCATCTGTTCTTTAGACTCATATATTCTATTTATTATTTTTCACCAGATATGAAAGTAGCAAGACACTGCTACCAGTTTTTCCTAAATGTTTCGATAATTTTCCTACAACAAAAGATGGTGAAACTGCTTTTCATGATCTGTTGGTCAATCAACTTTCTATTTGTTATAGTAAGGGTTTTAACAATCATGGAAGTCTGAACCTTTTTGGTCAATCTAGATAGCCTGAAGAAGCCCTTCCTAGCGTTCAGATGGGTTTTACTTTGCTGCAAAGAGTAAGGGTTGACAGTGCATTCATGAGCAACATTCACTTATAGCGTTCAATGTGTTATCCTCACTAAAATTTCCTTACATTTTGGAGTCCCAAATCAGAGCATGAACCACCACCACCCAATCCACCGAGTTCTTCAAATCATTTGACTTCTGAATTTTGCCATTTTGATCCGATTCTCCATCCATTTCATGATAATGTGAAAAATCCAGTCGAGCAAACTGTACTAGCACATGATAAGTTTAAGTTTGTGCCTGTAATTGTAGATGGTTGCTCAACTCCCAGGTCCAATACTTTGTGCATTGGCATTGCAAGTGTTCATAGCAGCAAGGGATGTGGAAGCATATATGATAAAAGTAAGGTTAATGAGATGCCAACTCCAGCCATTGCAAGAGACAGTCTCTTTGAGACTGTAAATGACAGTAAAGTCCATGTTCATGACAAAACCACAGAGACAAAATCTCATCACATCAGTGAAAGGGAAGCGGCCCTGATTAAGTGCCAATTGAAACGGAAAGCTCGCTGCTATGAAAAGAAGGTATTTAGCAATTTTAAAATTGATTACTACTTCTGATCTATTTTGTAAAATTGATTTGACTGGATATTCAATTTTTAGATTGTGTTCTATTCAAAGGCTATCAACATTACTATATATGTAGAAGTGAAGAAAAACCGAATATCAAGTTCCAACATGTGCTCTTATAGTTATGGCAACAACATTTGTATTGGTTTAATTATTTATGGGGAAATGTCCTCTCATTAATTGCAATATTCCATGGCCAATTGTTATAGCCATGCCATTTGACTTCAGTGTTGCTTCTGATTAAAAATCCAAATTTAAAATTTGATGCACATGCTATAGCATCCTCTAAAATGGATATTTCACAGGTTCGATACCAGAAAAGGAAAACACTTACGGAGAAACATCCCCGAGTGAAAAGCCAGTTTGTTCACCAAGGTCCAATCTGAAACCACCCCACTAGTTGCAAATAGTTTACCCTGAAGACTTGCAGAGAAGCGTCCCCAAGTGAGAGGCTAGTTTGTTCGCCAAGGTCCAATCTGAAACTACCCCTTTAGTTGCTAATAGTTTACATTGAGAATTCACATTGTGTCTAATGCACTTCTGTTAGGCAATTTTGTTGTCAAACGACCTCCCCGGGCGATGATGTAACCTCGGTTGTTTATTATCAATCGGCCTCGGCCTAATGATTGATTAGTACATCGACACAATTAAAGAGACAACACAATCCACTTTGTTATGGACCGTTCGAAGTAACCTATTTTATAGTGTTGCTCACGGTTCCCGCACCATTCCTTGGAAGGCTATTTTATTATTATTGAGGCCCAATTATTG